GAAAAAAAGCTTGTTTCTGTCAGAGTTCGTTCTTTGGTGTCAGGGAAACATGCTGCGTTTTTTCCTTCTCTATCGTCTACGTTTTCACCTTGATCTTGTAAAATATTACAAATAATCCAAATGCATATATTGCACTGCTGTTTTGTAAATTCAAACTGAATAGTCAAATAGCCAAAGATAATGATAATGATTACTTCAGAATGTATTTTTCCATCTTCGAGTAATGCATTGGGTGGTACCTTTCCAAATTTCAGGAGACTGGTGGGTGACTTGCAGACTAAGGCAAATGCAAATTGAGAGAGCTGAATCAAGGGCCTTCTGAGGACTTCAAAGGGCTTTGGATCGAGACTCAAGTTCTTAGGACTTTTCATCTCTAGATATCAAAATATTTCACAACAATCAGTACATTTCATTACTTCTATTTCATTGATGGGGAAACTGAGGTATAGAACAGTGAAAGAATTCTCCCCCTATCATTTCTTGAGTATGTGGCACATCACAGGATAGCAGTCAGCTCCTGTGACTTTCCCTATCTTCCATCTCCATCAAGTCTTCTCACAGAAACTGCCTTAGGAAATAATTGTTAGGCTTTTTACTCCAGTAATTTTTCCCCTCTTCTGACTAAACTCTGAGGTAACATGTTATGTATCACTTGACATAGGAGATCTGTACACTGATCCTTCAGGACTAGTGCTAGATGTATTAGTAAACCTCCAAAATCCCAGTGTGCTGTGCATGCTACCACCAACTCTCATCATGGCAGTTCACTTGCATCTTTTCCTATCACCCTTTGATCCTTCCCATCTCTTACTAATCCCAGCTACTTCAAGGGGTTAGATGGAATTCAAACGAGATCCTGTGTTGATTTAGAAGTCTCTTCTTGCAGACAGAAACTGTATCCTCTCATCAAAGTACCACGCTATCATCACCGCCACAACATAATAGGGCTAATTATAATAAGAAGCTGGATGCTCATAAAATAAATAACAAGATCTTTGAGTGCCCCTATCCTATTTCGTCTGAGTCATCCGTTTTATATGTTGAGGGCTGTACTGTCTGCAGGATGTTAAATAGTTAAAGGGAAAGCCTGGCACTTTGTCATGGAGAAGCATTCTTAATAGCTGCTATTTAACACATACCACGGGAAAAAAAGGTTGTGAGTGCCCACTGGATGAGCAACAGCAGTTAACTAATAAATACTATTCCCAGGTGATTCACAAACAATGAAGTAACCAAAAAGAGCCCCGTTAATTTCTAGGCTGTTTTCAAGCAGGAGAACAAAATCAATATTCGCTTAATGGAAAAAGGCAATACTTGAGGCATTAGGGCCATCATGGGGTAGAAGGGCTGTCCTATAGTCAAAAGCATGAGGCTGGGAATCAGGAGACAGAGATTTTCCTTTTAAATTGCTTAAAATAAGTTAGTAATGCTCTTTACCTCACTTTCCCCACTTGAAAAACTGGAAGCTGCTCCTCCTCATCTATGCTGCATGAAGCAAACGGATTGTAACAGTTTTCAAGCACTATGGCCATTTTCTGGCTTGGTAGTGAACGTTGTGGAGAAGTGTTGCTGGTGACCTGTCACTAACTGCTGACAGAATCCAGGCACAGGTAACACTGAGGCTGCTTCTTACCACTGTACTGAAAATCTTCTTCAATGAAGTGGAAAAGTAAGGACTGGCATTCTGCTGCTGCACACTTAGCATGCAATGGGTAGAGCCCTTCGATATCCAACCCAACAGCTCATAAAAGTATTATCCACCAAATACCTTCACAGTGGCCAAAGAATGAGAAGAATGGAAAGAATTTATTTCAAAAAATATTTTCAAATTTTAAAAATGCCGCTTGGGGAGGATCTCACCCTGTGATTGCCATGTGCCAGCTCTATTTATTCTCATCCATTGAGCTAAGACTTAAATAGTCTGTATATTAGCTCAGGCACCACTTACAGGCACTACCTTGGACCCCAGGGATTTGGATTTTGACTCTGACATTGCTTCATAATCAAGGATTGTCCCAGGGTGAACTATCAGACTTCAGCTGTGTGGTCTAGGGTCAAATCCTAGGGGACGTAAGAGGATGGGAAGAGATGGCAAGGAAAATATACTTGTGCAAAGAAGCAGGTTGGTACATGCAGCTAAAGATGTAATCAAAGAAAGAACTGAGTATAAAAGGATTTTTATAAGCTAGGTTATGAGTAGAGTAACAGAAAACAGAACAGACAGTGAGGATTGTGCTTTCAGGAAATGGAGAGCTTTTCTCATAGGTATGGGAATTTGTGATTAAAATGCCTGGTGGCAATAAACTGATGGCCTGATCCTCAGTTGCCCTGAGAGCCTGCTTTTCCTTTAAGTTTCCTGTGAGTGTAAAAAGGGTCTGAAATGTAAATGCTTATTTGTGTGAATATCATACAGAGCTGCAAAGAAAACGGAGATCATTGAGACAAGAAAGGATTTATTCTGCTGGCCAGAATCCATTCTGCACCTCTGTTCAGACAGTACCACCTCGATATGGTGGTAGCACCAGTTAGAGGGGATACACAGGCTTGTGACACCTTTTAACTTAATGCTTTGGGCTGCAGAAAAGTTAATTGGACTTCTCTCATAAATAAAATTGCAGGATCTGTGCCCAAATTAAGATGGGTCAGTTACACTGTAATAACTGGGAATGAAGGCAACTTTGCATCATCAGAAAATACATGGGCTTTTATTTTTTCTCCTGTTGTAATCAGCTACGTGCCTCTATTTCATGTGTTCATAACCGCTGAATGTTTCAGTCCTGGGTTTAACAGGGAATACGGAATATTTGGGAGAAGTTTTAACCCCTTTTTGATGAACAGTAAGCTCCTTATTCAATTTAGTGGCACCAGAATTTTGTGTCACATCTGTCAAATGGCTGTCTCAGTAGCTATCTGCTTGGCACGAGTCTAATTGTACCTTAATTCATTTTGTTGCTTCTCCTCCCTTTCCACATTTTTCAGTTCTTTCCTTCTTTCCACTCTTCAGATCTCAGTTAAGCAGTGTTACAGAATATATATACAAAGATTGTGAAGTTGAGAATTCACTTCAGAATGTTAGTGTAATATGCTCTATCGTTATAACCGGAATATTATGCATGGAAAGCATACAGTATTTCTGAGGTAGGAACTCTGAGAACCTCATCAATCATTTCCTGTACATTATGTACACTATTTAAGTAGGTGGAAAGCTAAGTATTTTTCCTTGAGGTTAAGTGTATGTCAAGAAGAAGAAGAAAAGTGTTTTTCATTGTAAATGCAAAATAGATTTCCCAATGTTCTCTTTAATACTGGCTCCATTAAAAACCTTCAGTAACAGAGCGGATCATAAGAAGTGAGGGAAAATACTTATCAGAAATAACACTTGTGAAGAAAAGGAATAAGAGAGAGCTTTACTAGGCTTTGGTGATTTGACTCCTCAGAGTCAAAGGCAAGCTAGAACACAGCTTACAGAAAACGTATTAAGAATTTTTAATACTTATTTCTTATCTATTCACTATTTGAAGAATAATGTTTAATACTTTCAAAAGCATATAATGTTGGTCTAAATCTCTTCCTACTGAAATCAATAATAAAAGTTCTATCAACTTCACTGGCAGCAGGGATAAGCAACTGCTTCTGAAAACACTACTTTATAGGGTGGGTTTTTTTGGTGTTTAGAGGCAGAGGGTTATTTTGAAAATACATGTAATCTATAGTTTTTTCACCTTGAAGCCACACAAAATACAAGTTCAAAAAGAACACCACTTTTGTTTCAGGTGGAAAGGACTTCCAAAAGAACTCCAAATCTTTAGCAGTGAGAAGATGTGGCATAAACAAATTGATTTACAACACACAACATAAGTTGTCTTCACAACACAGCAAATGAGGCAGCCTAAGCCAAATACAGAGAAGCTTCATACTGCAGTGACAATTCATCTATCCACTATAATATAAATATACCAAATTACATTTTCTTCAGGATTGTTTTTGATGAAAATGACACTATTTAGGTAGCAATCTGTTCCTGTTTTTGCAAAATTCTTCTCTAAGGTACTTGAACAAATATTGCTACCTCTGACCTTTTTAATGAACAACTCTTAATTAACAATGGAAGAACGTTCATCAGGCATGAAACTTAAGATTAAAGAAGAATGGCTTATGTTTCATTAATTTTATTCAATTGTATCCTGAAACTTCATTCTTCTTTAGATTAAAATATAAGCAGACCAACGATATGTATCCAAGGTATATCTGTGTATCACTGTAATACAGGAGATATATATATATATATAGAATGCCATTAAGATTTGGAAAAGAGAGATTTTTGTGACATGTCAGTTTAGGTAAGCCATTTGGAAAGTTGCTTTTCAATTAGGTGGTCCTCTTTAACAGGAAACACACACCACACAGAGTTGTTGGGAAACTTACTACTACATAATCCTCTGGTTACTCAAGATCAACATCTGGAAGTAGCTGCAGGTATGAGTGAAACAGTAAATTACTGAGATTTACACAGATTTGTAACAGCCTAAAGAAAATAATATCAAAATACCTGGGTAATATCACCTGTACATAGAAAGACCACAGGAACACAGCATTATTCTATTCTAATTATTCTATTATGTACGGGTCCATACGGCCAACTTGGCTCATTCTTCATCTCCAGTGCCCTGTTGCCCTGATCACCAAAACTGTGCACGTGGCTGTTCACATCTGGGCTCCCTCTGCAGTGAGGAAGCTTGTGCCTTCTGTGACTATTTGCTCCAGGGTCTGCTGTAGGCATAATACTGTGGTAAGCCCCACCAAGTTTGGCTTCTTCCTCTTGAGACAGCTCTCCAGCGCTACCCCAGAAGGCTTTGTGCTTTTGCATGTTCCTTTTGTGTCTCCTTCCAGGACAACAAAAACCTTAGGAAAATGAAAGACACCCACCCAACAGACAGAAAAACTATCTTCACATCATTGCAGGTACTTCAAATTGGAAACTCACAATTTCACTCAATTTTCAATGCCTCCAGACAGTCTGCACCAATCACCCTGGGAAACAGGAGCCTCTTGCTGGTGCGACCTGTAACAAGAATATAGACGGAAGTGTCAATAATTCAGTAATGACAAGGACTTCATTATACCTGTAATGTACACAATAAAGTTGGTCATAACAAACTCGAAACACAGTTCTGTCGAAGTCACACTGTAAGACAGATAATTTGTAAGAATTACCTTAACCTAGACTGAAGTTTTAGAAAATGGGATTTAGTATTTCGATTTCAAATTCTGGAAATGTTAATAAAACTATTAAGTCCTAGAGTCAAGATTTGGGGTCCTACCTGAATGTGTATTTTCTTTTAAGACTTAAACTCACTTACAAAAGTAGACAGCAGTTCTCAATGCATAGCAAGAAAGACCAATTGCTAAAAGCTAACAAAACCTAAATACGAACAAGGGGATTAAATTTAACCTTGTTCTGGAGACTCTTGGACCAAACAATATCTTAAGACTGTTCTAACCATTATACTTTAATTTTAAATTAGATCAAATCTGGGTGCTTTCTTTGATGAAAATGCTTATTACTCATATTACATTTATGTTTGACAATGGAATATAGCTCATACTGAAGACAAACACTAATGCTGCTTTTAAAAGATGAAACTGAGAATAACCAGCTACAAGGAACATATAAATGGGAATTGAGAACTCCGAAAAGAATAGTGAGGACTCTACAACAAGACAACAAAACTCAAAATATCCTTGAGGAAGATGTGAAAGCATCCAATATAGGTTTATATCTACAGGCTTTTTTGATTGTTCCAGTGAGAAAAAAATCAGTGGCTGTAACTGTAAATTAAAACATAGGATTCATAAAAATTCGTATTAAATGAAACAGCAAAAAAAGGAAGTCAATGTTAGAAGAATTAAAGACAAGGAGTGCTTTAATTCTATTAGGAAGAAGAAGGAATCCTTAAAACAGAATGAGAGCTGGAAATGGTAGAGTTATTCACAATAGTAAAATAAATGCAAGAGGGATGAGTATCTTGCATTAGTTTAACATTAACAGAGTCATGTCCCACTAGGTGCAAGTTACAAAAGATAGTAACAGATTTGAGGTACATAAGAGTATGTAGGATGTAAACCATCTTTTGTGAAAGAATCAGTGGCATCTATTTAACTTAAGAAATGACTGAAAAGTCATTTCATGTTAGGCTACAAGTACTCACACGGGGAACAGAACTCTTTGAATGCAGGACTTTCAAAAGTTCCTAAGAGATGATGCCATAGTGGACATAATGGAGGGACTCAGACCTGAAGGAAGACAAATGTAAACGTGCCATAGGAATAAGGAAAACCCATTATATAAAGTCCTGCAATACTAGAACTAAGGGGCACTTCTCAAAACTGGTAGGAGAGCCATAGCAGTTTAAAAGAGAAAGAGAAGAAAGAACTTTAAGCATCAAGCAGAGAACTTCTGGGCTTCACTGCCTCAAGAGATTGTGAAGGCAAGCATTATCTGCCAAGATCCACAACAAAGGTCCGAAAAAGACAAATTCATTGACAGCAACTTTGTTAACAGATAATAGGTGGAGCAGTCAGGAACGTGCCTTCTAACATCCCTAATTCCACGCCACTAGATGCTGGGTAAGTCCAGGGGAGTAGAGCTCAGAGGTAGATGCTCCCCTCAAGTAGCACCTCTTAGTGCCATGGTCGAGGACCAAGCACTGGGCTACATGAACCACTATTCTGACCGGGTAAGAAGACATTTCTTGTGTGTTCTTTATTTTAATAGCAGTGAGTAGAGCTGCACTTGAAATGACTTACCAGAAATGCAGGGAATTCTGTGTAACTGGAATTGTTATGTCAAGGTATGTTTTCTTTAAGAAAAATGGTACAAAAAGGAATTAGTTCAGGTAAATCTCATGTCCCATGTTAGGGAGGAGTTCAGATTAAATTACAGTCCTATTCCCATCTTGCTTCATAATCTATAAATCTACAGAATTTTCCAGTAGCTTGATAATTTTTCAGTTCCAGGCTTGCTCCTTCTCTACTAGGCCCTTTATATTTTTAACTATAGGGTTTTTAAGAGGGTCCCTTACTACCTTTCCCCTTACGTACAACCACTGTTTATCTTTAATAAACAGATAATTGTACTGGCTTTATCCTGTTTACTGTTCTCCACATTTTTTCATCTTCTCTGTGTGTGCTATCCAGCACAAGAGGGTATCTTTCAGTAAAGGCTGCCTGAGTGTGGAGATAAAGAAAGGGAGCAGAAGAAACAAAGACAGGGAGTCAGGGTCAGAGGAAAAAAGAAAAGATGAAGGGAAATGTTATTACTGAAGGATCTGAAAATAATTCACTATAATTTGGAAAGGTTTTTAAATGTTGGAGAACACAAAACAACTATTTTAAAGAATTTATAAGAATATTTCTGATAATATTACCACTCATTTTTACAAAACTAGCTGGTCATTTAAATTTAAATATGCTGCAGTGGTGGGATATATTGAGAGTAATAGTTGGCAGTAATGGTGGTAATTGTATACTTCCATTCCTTACCTTGTCTTTTTGTTGGTATTGTAAATTACACAGGGGTAATTTTTAGTTCCAGTTGAAGAAGGCAGTTACTATGATGCTCATATGGTACTATGGTTAACAAAAAGATATTTCTTTATCCTTGTTAATGATTATCCCATGAAGATTTGTATATGAGCTTAGCTTTATAAGGATGGTGTACCTAACTCTAAGCCATTAAAGCATGTTATTTGGGTTTTTTAAATTTATAATTTAAATTGGTTTTATAGTTATTTTTCTGATAATTATTTCAAGAAGAAATGTCATCAACTTTAGAGGTGGATTAAGAAGAAAAAAGTAAACAACTGCAAAACAATATAATGCTGGCAGTTGAAATAGGATCTTTGTTAAAGCCCAAAGTTCCTGAACATATTCAAGATTATATTTGTGGAAGCTATGGTACAAACTGAACGTATCTTCACAGAAATAATTCTTTGACAGCAAGGGAGGAAAAGAAAAAAAAAAGCAAAAAAAAAACCTTTGCAAGTTTCTTTCTACAAACAAACAGAAGGAGGTAAGCCTTTGAACTCCTATTGTTCTGACAACATTAGCTGTGTTTTATCCAGCACTGTGTTTTTAAATGCTAGTAACTTACAGACACCACCATTTGGGTTTTTTTACTGAATAAGTGGTGGCAACAGTGGTGAGAGACAAGCCAGCTGAATATTTTGTTGGATGAATCAGTCCTACTTGAAAGCAACTGAGAGCTCTTGGAGGCTGAAATACAGTAATCTCTACCAAATGGCATGGATACTTGCTACTTGTTATGTTTCACAGTAGTCAGGGATAAAGTGTGTTAAAGCAAGAGATAAAAATTCTAGCAGTATTTGAAATCTGAATGTTGGTCAAGGTCCAAGTTTCAATGGTAATTCTGATTTCTGTGGCAAAAGAGAAATCAGAAACTCCTGACAGACCTGAATTTTAGAAAGCTGGATGGGGAGTGTCAGCATCCTGTTAGAAGTGTCCTGCAGATTTCTCATCAACTAGAAGCCCTGCATTAAAGCAGGCACTATGAACATTTAAAGCAACATAGTATGGCTAAAATGTTTATTTTAAAAGACTTATGAAGAGTGCTATTTTTGGTGAACCATGTTAAAATTAAAGTAGAGCCAGCCTGTCGCTTGAGAAGGATCAGAGCCAAAATGCTCTACCTAAACTTCAAAGCCTTCATAATCTCACCAGGGATCCCAAACCTCTTCCTCTTGTGCAACTGTCTTAATCCAAACTTCAAACCTATGGCTTGGCAGGCAGTGACAGAGAGTAGTTTTTAAGGTTAGGACAGAATATTTACTTTCCTTGGGCAGTGCTATAGTTTTCACTCATGCTGAACTACGCTTAAGCTTGTCATCCCCAGAGGTTGACTGGGATGTTCTCAGGCCCAAGTCTGTAGGAAGCTATGCAGGAGGTGCTGAAAGATTTTAAACCCCATTGACGTCACTGCTTTTTGATGGCTTTCAGCAGTTCTGGAAGGCGGGTATGGGAGCGGTGGCAGAATCACATGCCAACGTATTAAATTTTCCTGACACAATAAAAACCTATAATCACGGCAGATTGAATTCATACCTTAAGTCTAAACAAGAAAAAAATTAGTTTTGCCTGTTTCTGCCAGAAATAAGTAGCAAACTGTGAGTAAATCACATTGTTTATACCACTTACTTTATGTGCAATGGAAACAGGAACAGCTGTTCCTTGACTGCTCTGTTTGTAACAAATGTGCAGTGTTAGCTGTTATAATAGCAAAGTTTACAAGATCTGCCATCCATCCGTTCCCTTACACTCTGTTTTGGCTGGCCTTTAAAAAGTCAGTTATTAATGCTCATTCCAGTTTAAGAAGTGCCACAAAAAGAAAGAAAACCAATCCTGAAACCCCAAACCCTTATGCAGGTCTTTTTTTTTTTTCCCTTAAAGCGTAAAAAAACACCTCATATCAGCCAAAAAATATTTCACTAGATATATATATATAGTCTTCAAGCATCAGGTAAGATAGCTTGTGCATTACATATTACAGTTCAAACCCTGACTCCATTGACAGCAATGATATGTTTTTAATTGATTTGAACAGGACTGCAATTCAAGGAAGTTACAATGGGACTGGAATGAGTTCTCTGGGTAAGCAACACAACTGTCAGCAAACATCTCTTACAGTCTCTTATATAAGTTTACTACGTCTCATCTTGAAATCATTTCAATTTCTTGCCAGCAAGGTTCTTCTGAGGACCATGCGTGTCTGACACATGGAAATCTACTTCTCATTTCCAGCGTAAACACACTGAAAATAGCTGGTACCTATTTGATCTCATAGCTTGTACTTTAACAGCTCTTCTTCCTCTTCAGCTCTTTTTTGTTTCTAAACTGAAGAAGCCAACCCCCTCTTTTTTTCCGTCTTCTCCAATAGAACAGACCCTAAATTCCTGTCATCCTTTTAGTGGTGCTTTGCCCCCTTCCAGGTTGATTTCATCTTTTTTGCAACAAAGGTGACTTGAAATATACCATTATACACAGGTGAAGTCTCAACAATATTTTGTGCAGCAACAGCCAAACATCTCCCTGTTTGTAGATATCTCTTGACTTACATGGCCAGGATGACATCTACACACTCCTTTGACATGGTACCCTGACCCTCCACAGGCATCTAGTAATAGACAAAGAGTTTTTTTTTCTATTACATCATTTGCAAATGAAATATATTCATGATAGTTATATTCATATGCTCCTGTACTGACACTGTTAACTTTGATAGCTCTCTCTCACCCCAGTGTCAAGCTCTTAGTGTGACTTTAAAGGACAGATCTATCTCTTCCCAGTCGAAACTATCATTAGTTTCTAAAGGTATGGCAATGACATACATGATTTTCACATCCAAGGTAATACTCTCTGCAATTAAATTTAATTGTATGGCCTTATGGTCTTCTAGTATCATATTCCAAGATTTCTCTTTTATTGTCAACATTGACCTGGGCATTTTTAAACTCTTGGCTTTGATCCCAAGGGTAGAGACTTGGTACATGAACACTGTAGCTCCACCTTAGACTTGGAATAGCTCCAAAAGCAAGTGATAAAACATACTGCCTTCTGCTCTTTAGCTTTGGTTACATTTTTAACATATGAAATAAGCAATTTGGGTGCAAGAAAGGCATTCAAGTCTTGTTTTCAAGTTAAAAAAAAAAAAGAAAAAAGAAAAGGCAGCAGCTCCCAGAACTGTACAAAGATATTTAGGCTTTCTAAAACTTTTCTCCTGACATTAAAGCATGTGGGCAATTTTAACATTGGCAAATTAAGTACAAATACACAGAGGACAGAGGCTGCTACACATCTTACCAGAGGATCTAATGGAAACCAGAGCTGTACTCAGATGGGCGCTAACAAACGGGCCTCGTCCTGGAGAACTGGCAGTCCAGTGCACAACATGGCCGTGAGCACGCTGCAAGGGGATCTCAGCTTCAGCTACACCCAACCCCTTGCTAACCCTCATCATTCACCACAGCATCCACCTGCAGTCCACCACAGCTCGGTGGATTAAGGTCTCCCTGAGGAAATCGAAGGAATTCGGCTTGAAAAGAAACCATCTTGCTTGCAGCTGAGGAGGGCAGATGGGGAGCTCAGCTGGGATGCACTGTCTCTGTCCCCGGGGCCTTGGTGTAGGTTGTAGGACAGCACTGCCATGGACAGAGTTGGGCAAAAACCACCCCCCCCCCCCCCAAAAAAAAGAAAAAAAAAAGGAAAAATAAAAAGAAAAAAGAAAAAGAAAGGAAGGAAAGGAAAGAAAAAAAAGGAAGGAGAAAAGAGAAAAGAAAAGAAAAGAAAAGAAAAGAAAAGAAAAGAAAAGAAAAGAAAAGAAAAGAAAAGAAAAGAAAAGAAAAGAAAAGAAAAGAAAAGAAAAGAAAAGAAAAGAAAAGAAAAGAAAAGAAAAGAAAAGAAAAGAAAAGAAAAGAAAAGGAGTAAGCCACACACCTCAGGCGAAACTACATTTCCCAGGTACCTCTGCCCTCGCCTGCTTCCTGCCCCTCACATGACAGCGCCCTGGTCGCGCCATGGCGGAAGCCGAGGAGAAGGTAACGCCGGGAGGGCATTATTGCAGCCGGACGGGCCGGGGAGCGCGGCGGAGCGCGTTTGTGAGGGGACAGGGGGCTTCAGCCAGCCCGGCAAGCGCCGGCGGCTGTGCGGCGAGGCCCCCGCTCCTCCTCAGCGCTGCGCGGATGGGGCTCCCCGCCGCGGCCTGTCGGGATTTGTGTAGAGCAACCCGAGGGAGGGCTGGGGGAGCAAGCCCTGGGGGCTCTGCTCTTTACACCGCACCCGGTGCAGGACCCTGGGGCTCGGTGGCTGGGGCGGGTGGGTTAGGAATGCAGCTGGCGCCGCTGTAGAGCCAGGATTAAAGAGCTGAAGGGTCTGAAATGATCGAGAAGCTGCCGTTTACCGAAAGGCGTGAGCAAGTTATCTCAACAGGGGAGGCTTCTCCTGAGACAAAATCCGAGAGGTTTGGTGTTTGTCACCTGAAGCTCCCCCCGCCTAGACTGCTCCTTCCCGAGAAATAAATAAAGTGCAAGCAAGAAGTGAAGTTTCCCGTTCTTTTAGATGCTTTCTCAGGGTTTCTTTGCCGAGCCAGGACTTTGACATACAGCTAAAAATGGTCCCTGTGGTCCCTTCCCACTGGTATTCTGTGATTCTAAGCTGTGTGATGCTTGTCTTGGGTGTTTAAAGGTGGGAGAGTGTTAGAATTGTCTCAAGGGAATTGGCTTCCCTGCTGCCAGAGGTTTGGTTGGAAAGGGTTGGCTTCCTTGGGGGAGGCTTCATCCCCTGGTGTGGTGGGGTTTTAACTGTGGCAGCGTTTGAAAGGGCTCTTGGGATAAAACCAGTTCTGAGAAGTTACCTTCTCTAATACTGCAGGAGATGAAAACAGCCTGTGTTTTGCTCTCCTTGGACTATGGGAGGGAAGTTACCTTATTCATTTCTGTTTATTTCCTTTGGGGAGCACACACACCCCTACTGAAAGGGATGTGTTTGTTGTGGCTGTGGTTTCTTTGAAACCCAAGTTTCATGGTTTTCCTTGCCCAACACCTTTGAGTTATGAGCCTAAACATACAGTGGATAGCATCTGACCTTTGCTGAGGTGGGGAAGGGAAAACCCTATATCCATCATACTGGAAAGCCAGCTTAGAATTTATTGAGAAGTTATGTTGGATCTGCTAAGTGAGAGATTATAATGGTGAGAGGTAGCTTCGCATTTCTGTGGATTGCTCATCCATGTACCTTTTATCCATTCTTAGGCTGCATGAGCAACTGCATTTGCCAGCTGGCTGAAGTGTACTGCTGATTTTCCCCTAGAGTCTGAGACCCACCAATGACAGCTCTTTCTACACGATTTGGGATTCTGGTCACCTACAAATCCCAGCTGAGGGATTTCCTTTTCACAGTTACAAGGCTACTAAAAAGTAGAAGTGGGGGATAATCCTCTTGGCTCATGCATTCGGAGGGAAGGGAGAGGAACCTAACAAAACCCCAGGGCAGTCATAACTGCAATTTACTCTTCCAGTTTGTTGGTGCAAATGGGTGAACTCAGGCAAAAAGCGTTTCATAGTAAGTTGCTAGTAAGTGAGTTAGTAGGTGAGTGTCAATTGTAAACACCTTCAGCTAAGTTCTTATCAGAGAACAAATACAGTTTCTGTATTTCCTCCCTAAGCCAGGACTCCCTCTGAGTTTTTGCATGTTATTTTCTGCAGTAAAATATAAAGGCTATGAAGTATTTGCCTGAATTTATATGCTGTTATGAAATTCAGTAGCTGCTGTTGCAGTGGCTCCTGAATGCAGAAGGGATACCAGGGCACATGTCCTAAATCAAAGCCGATTGATACTTTATTGATTCACACTGATTGATTATTTGAATCAACTTCTGGTGTGCCCTCGTTCTGTAAGCCAGTATTTTCCAAGGATGATCTCCCACATAATAACTTGCAACTCAGTTTAATCTTTATTAAGTGTTTTGGGTGCATGTAAGAATCGGCTTCTGTAAAAGCAAGTGGGTTGTTATTCCACCCTGCCTTCATGTGAGTCTGTCTGTGGGGTGTTAAGTACTGAGCTTATACCTGTATTTGTGTTCTCCTGAAGCCAAAGTAATCAGAACCGTGAGGGGAAAACTAATCTTAGTGTAGCTGTACTATAAAGTCTCATGTGTACCAGCAAAAATATCACTTCCTGTAATTGCTTGTTTTGTTTGGGAGAAAGATTTCATTTTTAAAACACATTCTCCTTTTACAGAGTGTGAACTGTATCAAAATATCTAAATGGTGGTGCTAATAGTTTTGGTTTATTGAAAAGTTGAGTAAAAAACTCTTGATATTCAGGAGGAAAGGCAGGGGGTTTTGTTAGGCGCCTAGTAATATGTTGCATTGGACTTTATGTGCTGCTTTAGCTTGTTCAGTAGGCTGGCAGTGGTACACAACAATATTTTAGTTCTGTCCTCAGGTACTGTTAAGTAGAATTTAAGATGCATAAAGATTGTATATAACAAAATTGTTATTTCCTCAAAGGTAACTGCATTGTGTGAGTAGAGACAGATTGGGACAAATAATTGTATTCGCAAAGTCAAACCTGAACTTCAGAGGGTGCCAGGATATTACTCCCTTTTAATCTTCCCTTAACTCCTGTGTTCTTTCTACTTGCAGTTTCCCAACTTAACTCACAGTATATAGTCAGATACACATGTGTATTTTAGAGGTGGACCTGGTTGTAGTAAGTAAAATGGACCAAACAGAAGGCAGTAATCATGGTAGCACCTTGCACTGAGTTTCAAGTAACCAGTAGAAATGCTGCTTTTCTTCTGCACTGTCTTTGTGACTATGGTCACTAAAGGTGAACCTCCACTAATGCAAAGGAGGCATTTACTTTTTGCCTAGAGATCACCATCAATGCATTTTATAAACACAAAATAAATAACTGTGTCAAAATAAAAATGACACTGGTTGTGAGTGCATTATTTTTTCATCCCTTTCTATTTCTCTTTAAACTGCTGGTAATTGTCTCTTCTTTTTTTTGCCTTCTCTGGTGAAATTCTCTACCGATTTATCTTGCTGTCCAAATACTACTTCATGAGGTTTGAAATGCTGCCGTCTCTCTCACTTGTTGTTTGTATAGCATTTTGTTGTTAAAATGCTTACATTCACTTTCAGCGTATTAGTTGTAATCTTTTATTGCTATTGATAACGATAAATACGTTAAGTAAATCTTCATTCTGCTGACCTCTTTGAGGAGGCGTTGCATCAGCAGATTTTCTCAGTGGACAGGTGAGAGATTAGGAGGAGTTGACTTGCAACATTTTTATTGTAGGACAGTAAGAATTATTGCCTTGCCAGAGAGAGATGTTTTAAAGATACAGTTGCTTCAAAGGCAAGAGAAAGCCCCATGGCATTGCTTTGACATGGTATGGGGAAGGAGAAAGTTGTTAAATGGAGAGGGACTTTTGAAAAGGGCATGTAGTGACAGGACAAGGGGGAATGGCTTTAGTTGGCAAAGGGGAGATTTAGATTAGATATTAAGAAGAAATTCTTCCCTGTGAGGGTGCTGAGGTGCTGGCACAGGGTGCCCAGAGAAGCTGTGGCTGCCCCATCCCTGTCAGTGTTCAAAGGCCAGGTTGGACGGGGCTTGGAGCAACCTGCTCTAGTGGAAGGTGTCCCTGCCCATGGCAGGGGGTTGGAACTGGATGAGCTTTAAGGTCACTTCAACACAAACCATTCTGTTATTCAATGAAATGCTGGGTTTCTGTGGAAAATGGTTTGAAATTATTGCAATTTAAGTTGGTTATCAGCTGAATAGTTGAACACCAAAGCTAGTCTGTGGATAACTTGCAAATGCTATTCTGCCTTGCAAGTCAAGGTGTGTGGAGTTGCTTTGCAAAACTTGCTGCAGCTTCTGGAAGGAGGGAAGCTTTCATAGGCATGGAATCTCAGCTGATAGAATCACTCTCTCTTTAGGGTAAATGATAATAGTATCACACTCAACTGGTGCCACTGAGTGTCAGTGTGGCACTAGATTGCAAGTGTAAGGAGAAACTGGATCTGAATGGAAAGGATGGAAACACTGAGTTGGTTCCGCTTTGTCATGTTTCTTAATAAAGGTTTAAAAAGGACTTTTTAAAGGGAAATACTGCTCAGTTATACATGTACTTAGTTGATTTCCGTTTGTTCTTTGTGTCATTTACAGGAAATCAGGTCTACTGAGGAATCAACAGATGAATCTGAGGTAAGCCTGCTTAAAATGCTTCTCATTTGAATCTGTGTCAGGACTAGTTCTTTTTCACTGCTTGAAGGTAAAATGCTGCCTTAGTGGTTGTTTTTAGAAGTTTTGCCAGTACTATGCAGCAGGGAATGTTAATCTGGGCTTAAATGATTAAAAAGGAGCTGTGATTCTTTATTAGAAGCTTCTTTATATTTAAAACCCTCACAATTGCCCCATTATGAAAAAATGAATCATGTTGAGAGACATTCAAGTGCATGCACTTCTGTTTTGATCAAATGAAAATTTAATTGTCAGTATAATTATGTGTGCAGTAATACTACATTCAGGTAATTGCTTTGTTATTTTAATAGCTTCACAGTCCATATTTAATAACGTGTAGTCTTTGTTCTTGAGGTGACATTTGTCATGTGCTGGAGAGGTCTGCCTACCCTGCTGTAGGTGCTGGAAA